GCCAATTCACATTGCCCCTTCTAATTCACTCAGAGAAAGGTTCTCACCCTTTGGAAAGCAATTACATCATTAACTCTGATCTCTAATCTTTTTTGTGTATGAATAAAACTATGGGGAATGAGACCAAATACATTCCCTTTTATATGGGCAGAATAAAAATATGGACATAATAACCACACAAGAGGAATACTAGGAGCAGGAGAATAAGATGAGTGGAAAATGAAAATTCCCTGCACAGGAAGTAGGGAGGCTTGATGGAGTTGAACTTCAGGATGAACAGGACGTCAATGAGGTGGAAGACAAAAGGGACGGGAGAAGAGGACATTGGAGGAACAAGGAATGAATAGCAAAGGTACAGAAAGTACGAGATGTGCTTGTGAGATAGTAAATAGTCAAGTCTGGCTAGAACATAAAGCGGCGTGGCATAAGGCTGCAGAGTTGAAGCTAAGTTGTGAAGGGTCTTAAATGCTAGATGAAGGAGTGTGGACTCTGTTTAGTGGGCACTGAAGTAGAGAAGTGATGTGGGCAGACCTGGGTTTCATGAAGACTAATCACGTAGTAGTGTTTAGGATGCTCTGGAGCGAAGTAAAGAAATCTGTTAGGAAGGAAAGCCATTGTGGGAAGTATGGAGGATTTGGAGACTAATGAGATAAGGCTTCCTGCACGACTGAATTTGTGGCATCAGAGAGAGGGATGTTCCACAGGTCCTCTGATGTCCATAAGGACATACCAAAAGTCGAATATAGGAGCCAGACTGAGAAATCAATGCAGGGGAGTCACTTACAGGGGGATTATGACATGAGCTCTGGCATTGCTGGAAGAGACCTTGGAAGTAAGGAACCTGAGGCCTAGCAATAAAAGTGACTTGATGGAGCCTGAGGCAACAGCCAGGACTAAAACCCAGTTTTCTTGTTTCCTAGTGTGCTTTCCACTACACTAATATTCAGATCTCCTGACTCCAACCAAGCCCGGCATTCCTTCCACTATACTTCACTGGCTCCTCAAGGTGCAGCATGCCAGTGTTTTGTGGTCTGTGGGCTGCTGACATGCGTAAGCACTGCCTTGGCTCACACTTCCACAATGCCCCACATGTGCTAATAATGGGATCTAGGCACCTCCAAATTATTATTATTATAGTCTCTGCCATTTGTGTGGGCTTAGCATCATCAATCTAAAGCTGAAAGGCCCCATGGGGCCATCTAATCCAACATCCTCCTTTTACAGATGAGAAACCAAAGCCAGAGAGATTACAGAAACAATGGGCACAAAGTCACTTAGATACTGTGCCAGCAACAGTATTTGAACCCAGGGTCTTCAAAGCCAATGCTTTATCCACTCGTTGACCATTTGCTAGAAATCATAATGTGTTTATTATTCAGAGGCACCATGAAACTGTGGTTTCCTATAGGTCCCACTCCCTTCTGGTCTCTGCTGGCCACGTCTCTGGTCACATTGCTGCCAAACTCTGCTTTGCTGAACAGGTAGACAATGATGGAAGTGTAGACTCTACCAGACGCGACTCTACCGGCCACAACTTTGCTCAATTCATAGGCTCTGCCAGATGCTGTTCCCTTGGGTGTGGAGTTTCTGCTGTATGCTGCCAGGCATGCATGGCCCCACTGGGCAGATACAGCTGTTGAGTTTCTCTCTGTTTTCAACTTCTGACTTTGGCTGAATCCTTTGGCTATAGGGCTATCTTTGCAATGCTCTTTCAATTAAAAAGCTAGGGGGCTTTAAAAAAAATTAGCTTTTTTTAAAAAGCAGTTGCTATTGCCTCAGACAGCAAAATGCCTTCCTGTGGAAAGAAAGAAAAAAACAAACACACCCTGAGGGTTTTTTTTTCTTTTTCTCCCTTTCAGAGTGACCTCTCTTGTTTCCTCAGTGTCCAGGCTACAAAGAACTCTCAGACATCTCATTTCTTTAGCTGGAGATTCTCAGCCCAGGTGCCAGGCTTTTTAGAACAAAGAGCAGGCACTCCTAGCTAAGTAGCTAATTCTTTGAGGCTCGAGTCTATTCTTAGCCCACAAAATCCTGGTCCCTGAGCTTAGAGTCTCCATGGGCAACCTCATTCTAGCTCTTGGTGGGCATTCTATATCATTCTTGATTTTAATCTCTGAAGGCTAGACTGAAAGCATGTAAGGACGTTTGTTCAATAACTGATAAACAACTTTATTTGCCCAATAAGAACCAAACTGGTTTGGGGGCTACCTCAAGCTATCCAATTCCAGCCTCTTACATCCTGCCATATAGATGAGTGGTTTAAAAACAGCCATGGAAGCAAAGCTAAGATCATTGTCTATTGGACTAAACATAGTCTGAGCTTTTCTACGCAGATATTGCCAGCAAACCTTGAAAAGATTTTGAGCTATTCTTACATTCCTAAAATAACCATGTCACTCCTCAGCTCCAGAAGTTTCAGTTGCTCCCTATTGGCCCCTAGGATAAAATATGAATTTTTCTGTTTGGCATTTCAAGCCCTTTGAAGTCTCACTCTGATTTATCTTTCCAGACTTACTTCATGTTACTTCCCTTTACCTATTCTACATTCTAGCCAAACGGAGCTATTTCCTGAACTGTCTTCATGAAATGCCATCTCTTCCACCAAGTCTTTGCCTTGGCTGTCTCCCATACTTAAAACATTCTCACTGTCCCTCTTGACAACCCTTGCTTCCTTCAATGCTCAGCTCAGGCTCCATCAGCTACACAAGGCCTTTCTTGATGCCTCCAATTATTGATGCTCCCCCCCCAAAAAAAATTAATTCATATTTAGTTTGTACATCTTTTGTATTTACTTATCTGTATACTTACTGTCCCCATCCCCTCTTTAGAATATAAACTCCTTGAGATCAGGGACCAGTTCCATATTTATCTTTGCATCCCAAGTACCTAGCCTGGCACATAACTGCTTAATAAATGCTTGTTGAAAAGAAATGAATTGTCAACCCTATTTAAAAAAAAAAAAAAGCAGATAATAAATCTTGCGTAATTGGTTAAGTCCCCAAATTTTTTTATATTATAGAATTAATTGAATTCTCCACTTAAATTCAGTGGATTCTGAGATTAATAGGTTCCTGTTCCTTCCCTATTATGATGCTGGACAAAAGTTATTTTTTTTTTCAGCCAAAGACAAGGTTTATTAAAGATTCGCCATGTTGGCCAGAGTCTTAAGGAATCTGAACATTTGTGACTCTCACATTGGCTAGGTTTTAAGAATCCGAGCCTACAAAAGTTATTTTAAAGATGCTATATAAGGCATGGCTCCCTCATATACCTGTTTGTTTTTCATATTTAAATGTTTCCCTTGTAACTTATAATATGGGAAATGTTTCCCATGTAAGCCTGGGTTTTAAGGTGTTTTGTTTTTGTTTTTGTTTTGTTTTTTTGTTTATGAAATAGAAGTTATATGGTCATATACTAGAGGCCAGAAATAGTTAGAATCACAGAAACTGCTGGCTCTTGAAAGTTGGTTCTGATTAAAATAACATTAGTTGTTAACCCATATCCCCACCTCAGTGTTTGAAAAGGGAATGCAGCTCTGGCCCTACAGATAAGAACATAAATGAACTTCATTAGGATAGACTCAAATCCCCAGGGACCCACTTCCAAGATAAAACACTCAATTATCTTAGGTTGTTTCCTTTAAACAGAGATCAAGGAAGACAGGGGTCAAGGGGAGGGGGAAAGAGCCTGCTTATCTGAATTATAACTTAAGTTGGAATGATGTAATATGATCATATATACTTCTGGAAAGGCTGAGGTTCAGAACTGACTACCTAGGATTACTGGACTCGGTGGAGCATGGCAGACCTATTTCAAGAGCACCCTGGTCTCCACATCAAGCTAGTCTATTTCTGGTAATAAACTTTTCCCTCTGACATCTGATCAACCCCAGGACATCAAAACCTGAAACTTAACAGAGCCCAGGGAATCTGAATGAGTTTCTTTGCCATGAGGTGTACTGTGGTAGGTAGAAACCAAAAGATGCTAGGAGCTCTTAACATTTTTGTGCCATGGACCCCTTTGGCCTTCTAGTGAAGCCTGTAACCCCCCTTCTCAGAATAACATTTTTAAATACGTTTTTAAAAAAACAAAGAATTACAAAGGAAGGCAATTATATTGCAACATAATTATCAAATTACTAAAACAAAACAAAACTTGAAGTTCATTGATGCCAGCCTAAGGACCCCTGAGCTACTAAATTGAGGCTAAATATAAAAAAGTAACTTCCTGCAGAATTCTACCCAAGTTAGAGTTGTCAAAGGATGAAAAGGTTTTAGAAGGTTCTGGTCATTAAATTCAGGAAAACAAGCAACTAGCTCAACATGTACATGATTTCAAGGAATGCACGCTAACCTTGTACTAGGAGTTTGACCTCTACGTGGGAGGAACTGATAATCCCAACAGCACAGGCTAAAAGCCAAAGCTTGGGAAGCCTGGATGTGAAATTTGTTTGAATCAAGAAACTTCTATATGTGCTAACTTGGGTAAAGTAGAATCTACAACTAAGCTTAATTCCTAAAATCACAAGAATTAATCATAGCTGGCCTGGGAAACGACAAACTTTGACTGAATGCCTACTATTGGAAAATACTGTGCAAGACAGAGACCCTGTTCTTTGGGGCAGCTAAGTGCCAGACACAGAGTCAGGAAGACCTGAGTTCAAATCTGATTGCAAACACTTACTAGCCATGTGATCCTGGGCAAGTCACTTAACCTCCGTTTGTCTCAGTTTCCTCATCTGCAAAATGGAGATAATAATAGTGCTTATCTGTTGTGAGGATCAGATGTGATCATCGTAAGTATAATTACTATATATTATTGTTTGAGATAATAATCGTGATTTTGTAATAATTATAGCGCAGTGCCCGGCACATAGTGCTATATAAATGTTAGTTATTATTATTTACAATCTAATAATCTATATACTAATAGCTGTGATACAAGAGAGAGATAAGTATCCAGGCAAAGTGCTATGAGAAATTTGAAGAAGGAGAGATTACCTGCAGGCCAAAGGAAGGTTTCAGGAAGTGAAGCCTATGTTGGCAAAATCATGAAACAGGCAAATGTTTCCTTCTTGGCAGCTCGTGTCCCCACTTTGCATTCCTGTTCCTTCTACTCCAGATGTCTAATACTCTTCTAAATAATAAACCCTACTATCAGGAAAGGTTATTAGGACAATCATTTACATCCTGGTGGGAACTTTACTCATCATGTTGCCTATCCCAGGGAGGTTTATACCTTAAATGTTTTCTCTAATTATAAATCAAAGGCCTTATCCTCTGTTAAAGGAATTTTGGTACCAGCTGAGTAGTAGGAAGGGGAGGTACATTTTGGGACAGAGAGGTCTTCCCTGAAATAATGCCATGTGGGCAGCCTAATCTCACAGAATGGCGTGAGAAAGTCCCACTTTCTCAGGGCCAAGCTTCTACATCTCCCCCTCAATATTCTAGGGTACCCTGAGGGATTTGGGGGTATCTTCTATTGCTGCCACTGGCTGTTTCCCTCATTTAAGGGAGGGGGGCTAGTGACTAGAACTCCAAGTTCCACTTAACTACTTATATAATTTTATAAAGGAATATTTGTTTCAAAGATGTAACAAGAAGAAATATGCAAATAATTTCTTCCCAACACATTAGGGCCATAATGCCCTCTACACCACTTTGGTCTTTCCTGCGGGGCACGAAATAGGGTCAAAACTTCCTGCATAGCATTGATCTCGTTAAGTTTACATGGAAAGGTGGTACTGCTGCCAGATCAATACTTCTGCTGGGCTGAGGTCCTGAAGGTCATACCCAAAGATTTTTCCTTGTTCCTTGGGCAATTGATGCTGGGCTAGCTGTAACACCTAGCCTGGATTCCAGATTCCTATAACTCATGTTCTTGATCCAAATCAGAAACTCCATTCCCTGTACCTAGAAAAGAAAAGAATAAACATGTCAAGGAGGTCCCATTTGTCAGAGTTCATATAGTTTCATAATGGGAAAGCCCTACGGCCTTTTCCTTAAAAGCATGGTTTTCTCACTAGATGCCATCACCATCGGATGAAGACAATGAAGCAAAAAATGGCAAAGAGGTGGCCAAAGCTGACTCAGTCCTTTTTGAAGGCACCGACAATTCTGGTTATACTGTCAACTGACAAAAAAAAAAAAAGGTTCCTTCCAAGCACATGGCAAGCCAGCAGGAAGCAGTGAGAGAACATCCATACATTTTCCAGTCTTTCCAAGGCACTTCCCTTCCATGTCATTACAATTGTCCCAGAAGCATTACAATTGTCCTCTATATGGTGACCCCATCTTAAACAAGCTGATGGAGTCTGAACGTGTCAGACCACCATTACATAGAAGCCTTGCCTACATCAATATTAATTAATATTAATATATTAATCAACCTGCATATGCTCATCAGATTATAGATTAAGAGCTGGAATGGACCTTAGAGGTCATCAAGTTCAAAAACCCTCCCCCCCCCATTTTAGAGATGAGGGCACTGAGGTCAAAGGAAGTAAAGTGACTAGACTGTTACCGGTCTGTGATGGATTAAAACCTAGTTCCTCTGGTGCTAAAGCCCACACTCTTTCCAATTTACCACCCTGGCTCTTCACTGTAACACAATGCTTCCTAAAAATATTGAAACTTTAAAAATTAAATTAGACCAATGTATAAAATGAAGTGAGGTATCTCGTGGACTTCGTTTTTATCTGAGCTTAACAAAGGAGGATTGAACTCAACCATGTAGGTAGACACAAAATAGTCTGGTATAGAAATATGTTAAACTCAATGGGGGAAGAGATTAGGGACAGTAAAAGGAGAGCAAGGGATTTAAGGAGGAGAGAGAATAGATTTTAAATGGAATAATAAGTTAAAGGGAAAGGAAGAAAGTATAAGAATCAATGAGTAGAGGCTGAGATGGGGGGGCAGAAGACTAGGAATCGATCATCTGAACTGCAGATTATTGCTACTGATCACATTCCTTCTCAAACATCACCTTCTTCCTTGTAAAGGGGAGGGGGCAAAGAGAGGGAAAAAACAAGAGGCTATTATAGAGGTAAATAGGGCAGCTGTGTGGTGCAGTGGATAGGGTGTTGGCCTTGGAGTCAGGAGAACCTGAGTTCAAATTGGGCCTCAGACACTTACTAGCTGTGTGACTGTGGGCAAATCACTTAATCTTGTTTACCTCAGTTTCCTCATTTGTAAAAGGAGCTGGAGAAGGAAATGTGGCAAACCCCTCCAGTACCTTTGCCAAGAAAACCCCAAATAGAGTCACTAAGAATTGGACACAACTAATAGACTAAACAACAACAGAGGGAAATATACTATGAATGTAGTCCAACTCGAAGTTAATGGCACTGTCTCACCCATAAAATAAAAAAGGATTAGAAAGTGAATACAACAGTATTGAAGTAGGACTTTTAATTCAATGAGGAGGTATCCAAGGAATCATATGTGCCCTAAGGGAAGTTGTTTCTTATTCACACAATTGAATTATACTCACTTTATTCTAAGATTATTCCTCCCACTGACAGAGCTTATAATAGCAAGTTTTGTCACCAGTGGGGATAAAGCGAAGGTATAGCACTGGGTCCTTATGATAATAGATCATGTTAGTGGAAATCATTAGCATAGCTTCTAGCACTTAGTTTTTGACCTCCCTTCTTGATTTGTTGTCTTCCTCTCTCCCTGGGCATACAATTGGGCCCTGGGTGAAGCAGGCTTAAGCTCGAAGCACAAACATACTAGAACACAAATATAGGGAACGCGTATGGCTTAGGAACGTTTTCTGGCCCTGTAGCGCTTTCCTTCCACTCAAGGGTCTCCACCAAATTCACTAATGAATGTGGCATAGCCAACCAATGACACTCCCTGGCTTATAGGACAGCATCTGTAAAATAGGGCAGTCAGCTGGATTCACTCTTACACTGGGACGGGTCAAGCAACTTGCTCCCCAGGGATGACTTCTGGACCTGGCTGCTACAGCTACTGGCTCTGTTGACCCTTCTGACCTTTCAAAACTCACAGGGCTGTTACCTAGTCTGTTCCATCCCCAGATATTCATTCACCTAAAATCAGAAAAGCATAAACTCATTCAGAGGCCCATGCTGACTGGAATGAGAGATAAGGCAGCCACTCTCTGTTGTCCTTCTCCCTCCCCACACCTCTCCAGATTTTAAATAGTTCTTACTTTACATGTCATCAGGATGGAAAAGGGGGAAAAAGACTAAGTTTACATGTATGTATTTATGTACATATATACACATATACATTAAGGGTGTATACATCCTTATGTACAAGGGTGTGCTGGCAAATGTTACAACTGGTTCTGAGGGGAATGGGATGTGTGCGTGACACATTGAAGTTTAATCTGCATTATTATCATTTTCTCTGTCACTTTCTCAAGCACAGACAGTCAACAAAATAATAAATCAAGCCCCCATCTGTAGCATTTGCCTATTTTCCTAAGTGCAAATGCTCACACTGAAAATTTAACAATCAGCTCTCATGAGCTGGTATGAGCCAGTACAAGCCAGTTCTAGCATGCTCCCGTATGTGCTTATCTTTTTTGCATGTGAATTCAGTTCTAGACTTGTCCAGTGATTCTGGATCCAATTAGAAAACTCCAAGTCACCACACAGCACCAATCCCTTCAAAAGAAGCTGCCTTCCCAACATTCCATGTATTGAACTGGCAGTAGGCATAAAATACTGTATATGTTCTCTATTGCCCGCAAGGAAGGATAAATCCAAGCATGCTCCAAGGACTAGGCTCTCATTAGCCAGTTCCCTATTGTACCTTGCTTCTAGGTTGTCTTGTTTCTAAGAAGGCAAGAGATTATGGACAAGAGCATATTATGGATAACACTGAAAAGTCCTAGAATTTTGTGAATTACTGGATTCTCTGGGTGTTCAGTTTTGTTTCCCACTTTCCAGATCCTTCTTCCTATTTCAAAGAGCAAAGACTTTGCTTTATTTTATTTTTAGAGGTACAATATGCTTCTTTGATTTCAGATAGTAATACTTGAATAATATAAAACGAAATGAATCAGAAACATATTCATTACAATTCCCCTTAAAAAGACATGTGTTTGAAACTAAGGTGAAAGACATTGGACAAATGGATAGTAGATCCAGAAAAGACCTTGGCAGTTATCCTGCCCAGCCACCTCACTGTACAGATGAGTAAACTGAGAATCAAGTAGAATAAATGACTTAGCCAAAGTAACATACATCAGAGGTATAATTTGAACCCAGGGCTGACTCCAAAGTCAGTGCTCTTTTTGTTGTCTCATGTTGCCCTTCCATAGTCTTGTAAAATTATTATTTTGCTAAACTCCAGATAATGCTGGTGTTCATCATGCCTACTGGAGATACCAGGAGAGTAATTCTTTAATATGGATGGGTTATTCAATCATTTTATGTCCCCACTGAGATGGAACCCAGATGTAAACAAATTTTTTTTAATTAGAAAAAAATTGCCTGATGCCTTTTAAACTTCAACAAGTGTCAAAACAGTTAAAGCTCAATTTGTTTAAAATTTTCAGTCAGGGACAGGGTGTCAGAGAGAAACATTGTCATGTTACTGCTATGCTACAGGACCACACTAAGAATCCCATTTCTCCTGAATGGCGTTTTCCTCTCTGTCCAGCAGTGATTTATTTTACTATAATTACATGCTGCGTTCAATCAAATTTGGCCAGATATTTTTTGCCTGTGCTCTGGAAAATATTTGGGGCAAAGGGGCATTCACTGGGCTCATTTAACAGTAGGCAAGTTGCAACAAAACCAGCCTTATTCTCTGAGAAAATGCATGTTTTTTCTTGTCTCTCCACACAGAGGTGACTTCAACAATCCTGTTTGGCTCTCCCATTACTTTTCCTGTATTTGGGTTGTACAGGATTTTTGTCATTCTCCTTTGGTGTGGTGTGCACATACTGTAATAATGCATTTTTTTTTCCCATCAGCTAGCTGCTAACAATGAGCCACCTAAGCTCTGGAAATCTCTTTTTTGCCTGTGGTTGTAGGAGAACGCTTAAAGGATTTAAAGATGTCAGTCATCATCTAGGGTTTTTTTCTGCACTGAGTGTTGGAGGAGAAATAGGTAAAGAAAGGGGAGAGAAAGGGGAAGAGAAGAGAAAAGAGAAGAGAAAGAGAAGAGAAGAGAAGAGAAGAGAAGAGAAGAGAAGAGAAGAGAAGAAGAGAAGAGAAGAGAAGAGAAGAGAAGAGAAGAGAAGAGAAGAGAAGAGAAGAGAAACAGAGAGAGAGAAGCAGAGAGAGAGAGGCAGAGAAAGACAGAGACAGAGAGAGAGAGAGAGAGAGAGAGAGAGAGAGAGAGAGAGAGGAGAGAAAGGAGAGAGAAAGGAGGAGAGAGGGAAAAAAGATGGGAGAGAGGAGGAGAGAGGGAGAAGAAAGAGGAAGAGAGAAGGAAAGAAGGAAAAGAGGAGAGAAGAGAAAGGGAAAGGAAAGAGGAAGAGAATAGGGAGGCACAGAGAGAGGGACTTAATGGGGGAGGAGAGGAGGGAGGGAGACAGAGAAGCCGAGTAGCCTGCTGGCAAGCAGGCAGGCAGAGCTGGAGTTCAGAAATTATACTCTGTGTGTGGTCTGAGGCTATTTCTCATTTCACGAAATACATGCTTCATTCCTGGCTCAGGCTAAACTTGCACGTCACTGAATGAGTCCCTTATCCACTTTCCAAAACACTGAGGAGATTTGAAAGTGCTCTGTGGGTGGACTGTTACTATCAGCAAAAGCAAATAAGCCAACTTATTTGGCTAAGCATTTTTTAATACTTAAACATAATACCCTTAAGCAACACTTGAACAGTTGTGGCCAGCAAAGAAAAAAAAAAAAGGGAACAAAAAAAATCCCCCCAGAACCCTTCCTTGTGTTATTTAAGGTGTCACAACTTTTCCTTTTAAAGGC